ACTTTACTGATTGAGAGATTGTAATCTGTAATATTTTATATGTGACCGGATGTCGTCTTGTGGGCAGATAATCTTTTGCGTTTGGTTCACTTTATCACTTGATTTTATTTCTGTTTTTCCAGATGAATCCCATGGAAGCAGGAGCAAGGAAGGAGCAGGAACGCGAGGCCCTGCGCAGTGTGATTGCGCAGTGGAACGCGAATCGTCTCGACTTATTCGAATTGTCGCCTCCAAATGAGGTGGGTGAGTCTGCGTGAAGTGAGATTGGTTTCCGGACCGCGTTGTCCGTGAGGGTGAACGCCGTCCTCGACTGGGGTCGAACAGCCCCCCCCCCCAGCCTTTTGTTTTTTGCCCCAGGTTTTCGTTAATTTGCCACACGTCAGCCGAACGGAAGGCCCCGGGCTCATATCTCGGTTTCAAAACCAGGCCACTACCACTTCCACCCACATTCCATGGAACACGGTAATGAACCTTCTTGTTCCATGAAGGGCGATTAGCTGAGCGACTGTTAGCTTCTCATGAACGTCACTTTCGAGTTGCGTCCACGTTTTTTCTCCTCCCACGCAGCCGGCTGGAGCCTGAAGCTGACCGTTCACCTTTTCTGAAGCGTGGAGTTGTACCCTAAGTCCCCCCATACGTCTTCTTACTTACAGAGTATTTTACGATAATGGAAGGGTCTTGACTTGTTACTTGTGTTTCGTAGGGTTCTCTGAAGAAAAAGCCGTCATTCCCTTAAACAGGATTAACAAATTGATCGTTGTCATGGAGACGCGTTTTCTTTGAAGTACGGACTGAATGTTTAATCCGACCTGAGCTGTTATCGAGATGCAGTGACGAAAAGAAAGTAACACTAATGTGATAATATTTACTGGCGTTAGCAGAAATTAGAATCTCTTTTGTGGGTCACTGTGACTAAATAGTCCGGAACATCTGCGTGACTGTTCCAGTCCGTACAAACGCCTCGCGCAATGAATAACAGCAGACTGCATAATCAGCTGTTAATTACGTCAGAGATTCTTTATAGTCACTTCTCCGCGATTTTATAAATCAAATCCTGCACTGCACGAAGGCTGGCAGGCTGATTTATTATTCACGAATCTGTGAAATAAATCTGGTATACACGATGTTTCGGGAGTATGCTGTACTGCCTTCATCAGGTCGGATTATTATAGGCATAAGCATCGAATGATTAGTGGTTAATGCGGATTAGTTCTGCCATGGCCTACTGCAAGGTACTATCCCGGAAATTGCGTTGAGGGTTTGAGGAAAACCACGAAAAACGTGCGCCTGTCGGGACCTTCGGAATACGAAAGAATGCTAACCACTCGACCGCGAAGTTCTTTGGATTTTGAGGCGGTGGGAGTCGAATTTAACTTGCGTAATTTGGGGACGCAACGCCCGTTCTGGGTTGTCGTGATAGTTTTTGCCAAAATTTACTTCGAAAACAAATTTTTTGTGTTATTGATATTCAAAAATCTCTCACCCACGCCCGAAGTGAATTTCGTACTTGCAGGCAGGGGAGCGTCTGTAAGGACCGTAGCCATGATTGTCTACGTCTCTTTCGGCGTGGGAATTGGGCGCCAGGTGGTGACGTCACGGAGCGTGACCAACAACGCATTTTTTTCTATATCTACTCGAGGGGGATGTGATGGGCGGGGAATTTAACACGCATCCCTGAGGAAGGGGGACATATGTTCTTCCGAAGGTTTGGTAACAAGGTACATGCGTCACAACACAGACGTCGCAACTGGCATTGTTTTTCTTTCGACGTTTAAGCGTGAAGATGCTTTGAAGTTTGTGCGTTCTCACTTCACTTTAAGCACGAAGCCGACTGCGTACGTAATATCTGAAAATGTAGCCCGTACCTCGAAGAAAACACAGCCCGTCTCCACGACAAAGATCAGTTGGTTAATGCTACTTAGAGAAATAATCGCTGTTTATCGCGGGAGAGAACGAAACCCACAAACACGCTTTGTGGGCATCTGTGGAATAGTTGTATAATATTAAAGCAGGTGGTAAGTGATTATTACTGGGCCGTCCATGGCTAATCTCATTGAACCCTCGGATGTTGCTACATAGTTCTGGGCTTGGCTTGTAGGTGAAGCTGTCACTTGGGCAACAAGTGTTATTCTTCATAAGGACACGGACTGTGTAAACACTTTGTGTTAGAAGAATTTTTTTAGTAAATCCAAATCCAAATATGGCCAAGAACTGCGTTACTACGTGTGGCTGTAAAGGAATGTGGTTAGTAAGTGAATTTCTCTGTGTTTGTCTTCTGGATTTGTAGGTGTGCACGCCAACATTTCGGTGGAACATACTTCCTCCATCTTCAGTGCGTTAATACATTGGTGTCTATGTTAATATTGCACCCAAAATAACAAATTTGCGTTGTTATTTGTGAGTGAGAAACATTTCTCTTCTTCATGTTTCATCGCGTTAACCGAATGTTTAAATCTGAGATGCTTTTTGTGAGAGAGACCCCCTATGATGCGTTTGTTAGTGATCCACCTCTGGTTGCGTCTGCACTCCGTTCTGACACGCTTTTCCTCTGACTTTTCGTGAAATTCCTGTGTTTTTTTTCCTGATACCAGAGCCATTCATTCACAAATGCCGTTCCGCGGCTTTGCCCCTCACATATTTCAGAATTCACTTCTGGGTCAGTGTCGCCGGTCTGTTTCCTCCCATAAACTGCAGCTGTTGTTTGCCGTAGAAAAGGAGGGTTGCTGGTTAGCAACCTGTGATCCTCTGACCATCGTGACGCTGAGTATGCATTCGTAAATGATATCCCCCGCGGGCCATGGTTTGGACATCCTTGCACAGACTGCACTTCTTGTAAGCCACGCTGCAGACCCTCCAAGGGGCTGTCTCTCGTGACTCTAACGACGTGCTAATGCAAAGTCTCCTCTGCATTTCTTTGAAAGCTTTTACAGCAGAAACGAAATCGAGGCTAAAAGCGTTGTCTGTCTGAGGTATCTTGGCAACCGACGTAGTGGAGCAAGCCATGGCATTGAACTGGGGCCGTTTGAATGCTAGTCACGTGCAGTACTACAAGGAGAAGCGACCAGTGTTCTACCGACCGACGGGTCTGTCGTCTGCTCATCGCCCAGGTCTTTGACGAATATTCAGTCTGCGTTGCGACAGTATATTTTAGTGCAGAATGCAGATATCAACCCTTTGAAGCCGACGCTCGTCTGATTAATATTTAAGAATTCAGTCCGTACCGCGAAGAAAACACAACTCTTCACCATTACAGAGATCAAGTGGTTAACGCTGTTTAAGCAAATAATCGCTGTTTATTCTGAGAATCTTGTGTTACAGATAAACGAACCTTGCGCACAAAATGTAGAGACGCTGATTGTCGAAGAAGGTGGTACATACAGTTACCACCGTGCTTTAAAGAGAGAAAGTCTTTCGATGATACTGTCTCGGTGGACGTTGAAACGCGTTAAGACACTGGTAAGTGGTCATTATTTCGCAATGACGTGTTTACAAGAGCCCGCCACTGGACCCTGTAATGAGCCAGATGAATCCATTCCACACTCTACAACTTTATTTCCACGCGTGGCAGCCATATTGTTGTAGAATTTCTACTACTTCAGGACCCGGCGACCCGCGATAGGTAATTTAGAATCGAGTGTGTGGAAAATTGGTTCCCTGTCAGAAGTAAAGTGATATTAATTGCCCTGAAACTACCGTCGTCCGCCACGATTACAGGATGTGGCGTCTGTGCGGTACTGGGAGGTAAGGAGCCGCCAGCTTCTTGAATCATTTCCATAACAACGCCCGAACTTCGTCCATTGTTCAGGGGCGCCGAGCGAGGTAGGCAACTTTCTCGACACACACTAATCGTCTGTCCGTGGTAGTCGGTGTCATGAAAGTGAATACGAAAGACGAATTCCTTACGTAAATGGGGCAATGTTGAAGTATGTGGGAAGGTTGTGCCGTCAGAATTGATGAAGGAATTAAGAGCAAATTAGGAGGTTTTGAGGTTTTCACGGCGGTGAGTCTGAAGATGGCTGTCTTGTGGGTTGTTGCACCTTGTAGTCTGGTAGATGTCTACCAGACTACATGGTGCAACAACGCAGCTGTCTTGAGAACAAATTAAATTTATCAAATGCTCGCTACGGCACAGTTTAGAATCCCATAGTCTTCCTGACTCCAACGTAGAAACGTAAAGATTGGAATTTTACGAAATTTAAATAAACCCGTTCTTTTGTTCGGGTCCGGTATTGGGCTGTCATATTTAAAACAAAAACAGATTATGTTTGAGGACCTAAGACGGATGAAGAGACTGGAGAAAAGTGCGTAATGGGGAACTTCGTAACTCGTAGTTGACAGCAGGTGTTATTATGATGATCGGATCACGGAGGGCGAGACGGTCCGGACGGGGGGGTGTCATCCGCAATGGGGAGATGTGAAGTGTGTACAAAATTCTGGTCTGAAAACGTTAATAGAGCAATAACCAGCGATTATTTCCTTAAACTGCGTTAACCAGTTGATCCTTGTAATGGTGAAGAGCTGTGTTTTCTTCGCGGTACGGACTGAATCCTTAAATATTAATCAGACGAGCTTCGGCATCAAAGGGTGAAGTGTCACTTGTCGACCATTGTCTGGTTTATTCATAGGAAGCAATGGACTGTTCTTCTTAACCTGTACCGGAGACCCAGCCCCACAGAGTATCACAAGCCAGAAGACGTGTTCTTCGCCGTCTTGTAAGCCTCTCATCTGGTAGGATCTGTGGCCGTGGTCTGAAGCAGATGCTCCGCATGTACCAGGATTCCGTTCAGACCCAGTTGGAACTTCACAGTTTTCTGATTGCACAAGAGGAAACCGTCATCATCATCATCATCATCATCTAAGGCCACCGGAAGTTTAGAGGCGTTGCCATATTGTCTTGTCTCTTTAGAACTGAGATTTCTTACACAGGTTTTATTTAGAAACAAAGTGGCGTTGTGACGATTTGGGCCGTTCAGCTGTGGAGTTCTGCCTCCATCATTCCACATTTTCCATCGAAATTCGTGGAAACACCTGCAGAAAAATTGTTCTTAAACGATGACGTCAGTTATCTTACTAAGACGTCTTTAGTTTCGAACTGCATGCCTTAATCGGATCAGGTTAAGATAATGCGATTTACGTAATGGACACTTATGCAGGTGGTCATGGGATCGAATTCTGGTCGTCAGATTGTCTTTCTGCATGCGAGTTTCCACGTGGCTCACTTTCAAATTGTTTAAATCGAGAGAAATCCGCTTCCTTTCGCTGTTGAGTGGGAACGGCATTGTCCCACCTGGGGATATAAATCTTCCACACAATGAGAAAGAATTCCTCGAAGAATCCTTTTTAAATCGCGCGTCTAACTCGGATTGAGTTGTCAGGCATCAGATGCTTGGTCCATGACGACGATCAGCTGGCTATGCTGTCAGGGAAATAATCGTCATTCATTCAGAGGATCGTACGAAAGACTCTGAGAGCAAAAACATATTTATCGCATCTTAAAGCAGGTGGTACTTATAGTTACCACCGTGCATTAAAGAGTTAATTGCACTTTAACTATATATGCCTGTCTTTTAACTAAGAAGACAACGTTTCCACACAAACAGCCTCTTCTGATCGAAATGTAGACTTGAGGTCTGCGGTTTCGTATTGTACTGGGTGTCTCAAAAAGATGTATATACACGCAATGAAAGAATGAATGAAATAAGGACTTTGGGACTTAGTGAGTTAGCACAGTCAACTTCGTGGCACAGTTGACAACGGCGAGGAACTTGACAGATGTGTACGCATCTTTTTTTTGGACACCCTGTACAAACTAGTGCCTTGTGCCGGTGTTGCGCCGAGTTTCTTTCCAGCGTTACCATGGTGATCTGACGCGAGTTGTGATGCTTTCATTATATTCCCTAAGGGCCGACTGTTTCACGCTTAGTTTTGTGTTGTGGCTGATTTCTGTCGCTGTTTTGAGAACACCCACGCATGTGGTAAGTGACCCGGTGCTGCTCCTGCATTCCTTTACTTAAGGACGTGAGGGAATTTGAGGGGTGTGCGGACCTCTGCCGGCGGTCACATGCAACCACGGGCGCAGGCTGATGGCGTCTGAGATTTAGGAGGGGAGAGGAGTTGACAGTCGATCGACTGGTAAAGAAATTCTCCCTGAATCCATAAAACGTGAAGGTTCATAACCGTGTTTAATAGAGGTCACCAGTGAACCCTGTCCTGAGACGGATGAATCCATTCCACGACCCGAGTGTCTCTTCATTCAGATGTTGTTCACTTTCTTATAGTGTAAGTGGAGGTTTAATAAATGTTTTAATATTATCCTGCTCTCTTCCCCCATGTCTTCCGGAATCATGCTCTCCACCCGGAATTTTATAAGCATTTACAATTTTGCCCTTTCGAAAGCGGACGTTTCGTCCGTGGCTTTATTAAT